ATACATGAATAGAGTTTGTTCAACCCTAGATACACGTACCGTTGTATTTATAAGCTTAGGTATACATAACCCTAATCCTAATTATGAACTGAGAAGGAGCAGAAACCCACTTAATTTACAACCTATGTCGGCTGCCCAATACGTGACTTCAAAAACCCTAACTTAAAATTACAATAAATGACACTAATGTAAGCTAATTAATTCCATTTAATTAAAAAATAAAACTCTAACTTAAAAATTACATTTAACCAACCAATTAATCAAACAATTCAAGTAAATAACAATTAATCAGTTAATTAAAAAAATAAAGGCACATAAACAAATAAATGCCAGAAAAATAATTATTAAACAAATAAACAACCAAAAATGCAACAAAAATGCCAGAAAATAAGTATTAAAATACCGAGACTATCCTTTTAAAATTAAGGGTATTACAGCTGCAGATCCTCCGATTGACATTCCAGATCGTAATAGCATAAAAGAATTGAATCAATTGCGGGAGTATATTTCTATATGCTTCCCACAGATGGCTCCAAAGTGTAGGTGCAAAATTTCAATCAACTACAAATAGTTAAAAGAAAAATATAACTCACTCAAAGAAAATAACAAATATCAATAATTATTCAGAGAAAAGTGTATATTACTTGATGGATTTTATTGGAGGTCTAGGCTTCTATTTATATACAAAAAGGTGGTGGAATTATGGTAGGACTCACCTTGTTTGTCCTTCAATTCATTCCATATATAACATTCTTTACAAATAGAATTCTTTCCTTTTTATAACTTTTTCCATGCCAAACTTTCCTTGCACAGAATTTTCATTCTTTATTGAATCCTTTGTCTAGCAGGACTGGTCCCGTCTTTAAATGAAGTTGGGCTGAATGTAGCTTGGTCCAAATGACTCCGCCAATGGGCCGGAAGTTCAGCATTAAAGACCCTGGGCTACTGGCGTCTTTTTTCGGGTTTGAACCAGGCTGGGCTCTTGTAACCCATCAAGAAAATAAAAATAAAGCTTCCATTATAGCCACGTGAACGACTTTTATTGGAGGGGGATTATTCCCTCCCCAAATATATTCCCTTTATTTATTTTTTTTTTTTTTTGGGAAACTAGAATTTTATATATATGTATACCAGATAAAATTGAGGAGAGGAGAATTGTAACATCTCTGATTTTATTGTAACGTATGTTGGTATTATATATATATATATATATATATATATATATATATATATATATATATATATATATAGAGTAGATAGATATAATATGTTGTGATATTGTATCAATCTATTGAGTATGTATTATGTTGTCTAACCACTTACCTAGGAACGTGCGATCGTGGAGAGAATTCTTTGTAACTGAACCAATGTACCTACATATAACATTAACCACTTAAGGTTTGATTAAGTATCATAAACGTATTCACAATCTCTGAAGAGAGTGGTTTTGGGATTCACTATCTTTGAAGAGAGTGGTTTTAGGATGAAGTCTAAGGTAATCAGTATTCCTTAGGTTTATTTAAATTTTATATTTGTGGATAGATTTAGCTAATCAGAATGATTAGTCGTGGAAGGACTCGAAGGATGATTATGTTAGATCAGGGAACTATCATCACGTGAATAAGGCAAGTTTAATTTTACTTTATCCTGTCTAGATCATCATTTCTTTAATTATCGGTGGATTATACTCTTTATGTCTATATATGTATTGATTCATTAATTATTGGATTTTCATTCGAGTTATTATCCCGATGTGATTTTGTGTATTTGGAGTATTTACATTTTCTCACTATTTGGAGTATCAGTTTTGTTATATTATTTTGTTATAGTTTCTTTGTAAGGAAGGGGTTGTTGGAGGACTGTGTAACCCATATTGTTAGAATCCTATAAAATTCTACTAGATTAGAATTAGATTGTAATTGTTATGGATACACGAGTATATGTAAATGAATTCTAGGAGAGTGATCATACCATGTGTATAGAATTAGTGCAGTTTAATAGGATATAGTTGTTTCACAGATTGAAGATGAGCTTGTCTCACATGGTAAGTAATTCTCACTGGGTGATCGTTCCATACAAGGATATGATGTGTTCCTACCTATTATGGATTATCATATATATTATTGGTTGAATTCCCCACATAATTTGTTGAAAAGGTTGGATTTGTTCCTTACCTTATATATGAGAGGTTGGATTCGTTCCTTACCTTTGTATGTGGTTGCATGTGATTTTTACATATCTTTAATATGTTTTTTTACTGGAGTTGGAATTTGATCCCTTTAAATGAGCAGTGAATGTGAAATTTATTTATTTAGATGGATATATTGTCAAGTGTATACTTTTATTTATCGAGGTGAGGTAAGATTATTACCTGCTGAGCAGGGATCTTGCTGAGCTTTTGAGCTCACTCCATTATTAACATTTCAGGTACTTGGTGATTGTAGAATTGGCATTGAGGACTAGAGCAATTCAGAGTTTCTATTTTCTTAGTTGCAGAGAGATTTATATTTTGAGGACTTTATGTAATCTCATGTTAATTTAAGTACCGTATAGTTAGAAAGACGATTTGTTGGATCACCTTCATTTTTTAGTATGATTTTAAGATGCATTTGTATTGAAAATTTTGAGGCGTGACAGATTGGTATCAGAGCTAGTACCCAGCTGGAAGTATGGTGATAGTGACAATGTAGACAGTGTGTGTGGGCGAGTGACAGGTACCGGCGAACTACCACATGTAAATGGGTATGAGTGGGCGGATAAGGTTTACCGGTGAGATACCGCAATGGGCTATAGCGTAAATGGGCGGGTGAGGTGCACTGATGAGCTACTACATGTAGACGGCTGTGCCTGGGCGGGTGAAACGCATTGACGGGCTACCATAACGGCTTACAGGTGCGTGGGCGGGTAAACAACATTGGCGAGCTACAATACTAGGAAATAGGTCACACTATCCCACACTGCTTGGAAGAAATGGTGTTTATATGGAAACGGGAAAATTATAAATTCGAGGGCGAAATTTCCTAAAGGCCAGGGTGGAGATGGTGACAACTCAGATTTTATTTAGGCTTGATTAATTATATTGGAGACTTTATTAAAGTAATCAGAGGAATTTAGACTTTGTAGTTACTAATGTTAATGTGACCAGAGTGCGCAGAGGAAGCGTAGTACATGATGTTAGGGGTGTAAGACATAATGTCCTAAGCACTCACTTGGAGGTAGATATGATATTTTAGAACATCAAAAAAGGTTAATTTAGATATCTATAAGCTTGTAGATTCTTATAAAATAACATATGGTTATATAATTGTGTTGAATAGTTTGAATTAAGGTTTCAGAGAAGTGACCTTGTCCCTCCATTAGATTGATCTTAGCTATTCAGTTAGGAGAAAATGTCTATAAATGAATGAGTCAATTATGTTCTAGCAGAAAAGATTCATTTTACCAATTTCGAGGACGAAATTTATTTAAGGAGGATAGAATGTAACATCCCTGATTTTATTGTAACATGGGTATTATATATATATATAATAGATAGATATAATATGTTGTGATATTGTATCGCGTTATTATAGTGGTAAATGATAGAATATGTTAAGTATGTATTACGTTGTCTAACCACTTACCTAGAAACGTGTGATCGTGGAAAGAATTCTTTGTAACTGAACCAATGTACCTGCATATAACATTAACCACTTAAGGTTTGATTAAGTTGCATAAACATATTCACCATCTCTGAAGATAGTGGTTTTGGGATGAAGTCTAAGATAATCAGTATTCCTTAGGTTTATTTAAATTTTATATTTGTCGTTAGATTAGGCTAATCAGAATGATTAGCCGTAGAAGAACTCAAAGGATGATTAGATTGGATCAGGGAACTATCATCACGTGAATAAGGCAAGTTTAATCTTACTTTATCCTGTCTAGATCATCATTTCTTTAATTATTAGTGGATTATACTCTTTATGTCTATATAGGTATTGATTCAGTAATTATTGGATTTTCATTCAAGTTATTATTCCGATGTGATTTTGTGTATTTGGAGTATTTACATTTTCTCACTATTTGGAGGATCAGTTTAGTTATATTATTTTGTTATAATTTCTTTGCAAGGAAGGGGTTGTTGGAGGACTGTGTAACCCATATTGTTAGAATCTTATAAAATTCTACTAAATTAGAATTAGATTGTAATTGTTATGGATACAAGAGTATATGTAAATGAATTCTAGAGGAGTGATCATACCATATGTAAAGAATTAGTGCAAGTGTAATGGGATATCGTTGTTTCATAGATTGAAGATGAGCTTGTCTCACATGAAAAGTAATTGTCTCATTGGGTGATCGTTCCATACAAGGATATGATGTGTTCCTACCTATTATGGATTATCACATGTATTATTGGTTGAATTTCCCACATAATTTGTTGAAAATGTTGGATTTGTTCCTTACCTTATATATGAGAGGTTGGATTTACTCCCTACCTGTGTATGTGGTTGCATGTGATTTTTATATATGAGGTTTAATGTGTTCTTTTACTGGAGTTGGAATTTGATCCCTTTAAATGAGCAGTGAATGCGACATTTATTTATTTAGATAGATATATTATCAAGTATATACCTTTATTTACCGAGGTGAGGTTAGATTATTACTTGCTAAGTAGGGATCTTGCTGAGCTTTTGACCTCACTTCATTATTAACATTTCAGGTACTTGGTGGTTGTAGAATTGGCGTTGAGGACTAGAGTAATTCAGAGTTTCTATTTTCTTAGTTATAGAGAGATTTATATTTTGAGGACTTTATGTAATCTCATATTGAAGATTTATACTTTGAGGACTTTATGTAATCTCATATTGATTTATGTACCGTATAGTTGGAAAGACGATTTGTTGGATCACCTCTGTTTTTTAGTATGATTTTAAGATGCATTTGTATTGAAAATTTGGGGGTGACAAGAATAAAAGGGGAGAAATAAGAAAAGGTTAAAGGACAATTTTGTCTTAAAAACTTATATTTTTAATTTCCATAAAGTTAGGGAACATCTCATAAATGAACCTACAATTTTAGGAATTGTGACCAATAAAAAACGCGAGACAGTCGCCAACGAGATAGTCACAAGCACGACTGTAAGTAGCACTCCTCGTGACATGGTGCTAACCATGTAGACTAAAACATACGGACACATTATTAATGATTAAATGTATCTCACACATATAAATATACATTGGCCCATTCAAACACGTTCTTCATTAATTTCAAGAGGAGTTCGGAAGAACTCAAGAGCTTCACCGGATGCAGAACTGGTGGAGCTCCGGCGCATATAATATTCTTCAAAGGTGAAAGGAACAAAAAGACGAGGGTGATCAGAGTCCACCAGTTCAGGCGATGCTTCCACTTTCGCCTCCTTCGGTTCTAACAAAAACAAAACAATTGAGACTCGTACTCTTCCTTCAACGCATTGTACTCGATGCTTCAGATTACAAAATCTTCCATTGCTCCATACCTGCAACACATTATTATAAACTTATCAAAATCCATTTTTAAGTAAAAAAAGTACCACTAAACTACATCTACATGCTTCTTGTCATCCAAACAAAATTAAGCAAACTAGAGTGGGACTGATTTTACTAACCTTTCCAATGTCTCCAACAAAGACAAGGAGGGAGGCTGGCATTGGATCAATGGGTATGACTGCACCAGACTTGTTGTCCACAATTTCTAGACCTTTAACCATTTCATCATCATTTAATACTGTGAGAAGTGATGCATCTGTGTGCATTCGAGCACCAGTTGATCCTATAGTGTGAGGAGTGAAGTGGTACTTGTTTAACCTAAATCGGCACAGCCAATCTTTGAATAAATTACTATCCATCCCCATACTCTTTGCCAACTTGCTTCCAATAGTCATGGTCAACTCATGTATCGCTTCAGTGTACCTTAAGATTGTCTCCCTGTGTAACAAAACAACTTCGAAATCCAAATCAAGAAAATATTACTTAAACCAAAACGTAATAAAGTTTCAATATATTACCCACAAAATAAATAAATAAATAAATAAATTAAATAAAATAAAACTAATTGATAAATCCCGAAGCCGATCTCCACTTGGGTGGGCGCTTGGCATTGCACAAGCTAGGGCTGAGTTTGCGCCCTGATACCATAGCAACGCCAAATACTTACCCTCTAATCTAAAAGTTTAAATTAATTGGGTGTTCTACTCATATATACTTATGACCTTTTTCCCTCTAATAGTAGTCTTTATCATTAATTTTTATTTTTATTTTTTTATGACACGAGAACCCTCGTAACCACCGGTCCTTTGGACACATGTACCACAATTATCGGTTTAAGTTCGAATTTGTTGTCTCAGAGAGAGTATAATTGAACACATGAACTCCTATATGTGAAGCTCTTGTGCTCCTGATCCATTAGAGCTAGCCCGTGTGGACTAGTCTTTATCATTATTCATCATAGTTTCTATAATATGCCCAGGCACGGATCCAGAAATTCATGTGAGGGGGGCAAAATTTTTTTTTTACAGTACTAATGAGAGAGAAGAGTGGCCGAGTCGATGTACAGTACAGGCTTTAATTTCCGGCAACTCGGTAAGGGTCTTTAGTAGAGGCTTCAGATCGGGTCGAAAACACAAACTCCGGCAAGTTGGTTAATCAAAACACCTCCGGTCACGGTCTTTAAAGCTACTCAGCCTAAGCTCCGCTTTCGCATCAAGCCTTAACAAGGTGACTCTCAAACACGGGAGCAAATCTAACTTCAGAGTGAAAATTTTGCTTCAAGAAGTGGAATAATTTGTCCAGATGATGTAGGTGTAATTTCAATTTTCTGCTAGGGTTCTAAAAAAGTCAAAAGGGATTTGGCACGTTGTCGGCTTCAACTGTTTTTGGCTTTGTTTTTGCAACTATGCTGAGTCTATTCCATATTAGTATTTAGCAGTTGTTGCAACATGTTGGCCCACAACGTTTTTGGCTCTTTTTGGGTTTGGGTGATGGGTGAGAGGAACTTTGATACATGATTTGATGCGAATGTTACAGCATGAGAAGAGGGGAACAATAATGATTTTTTGTTTCAACTCCACTCCAGGGGCAAGTATATAGTTTTACAGTTAAATAATTCTATTTATTTTAAAAAAATAAAAATTTAGTACTAAAAAATATATTTCAGCGAGGGCAATTGCCTCCCCTAACTTCTATGAATATGCCTATGCAGATTAATTGAAATATAGGAGATGGTATTACCACTGTAAAGACTTAACTAAAATTAAAAAAATATATATATATCAGAGTTATAGAACATTAAAGAATGTAAAGAACTAAAAGAAACAGATCTAATGAACGAAATAAAAGAGATTAAATGAGACATTGGAGGAGCTATCCAGCTAGCAGTTACACACACCTTTGGTTAGGAGAGGCTTGAAGGTGAGAGCAAAAAGCATGGACAGCTCCAGGAGAGTCCATGTCATAAACATCCAATCCCTCAATAAGAGGATTGGCCTCCTGAACTGGGCTGTACCCCTTCCCGCCCGCCACCGCGTCACCGTGCTGCTGCTTGATTTCTACCGGAAGGTCGAAGAGAGAACGCGCCACCGACTGCATCTCAGACATCAAAGTCACAGCAATCCCATGGTTGATAATCCTAAAACATCCCCACTCTTCACATGCTGTTTTTCAAATTTTCCTCCGACTGACATTGATTCTTGCATATCGATCACTGGGATACAACCACTAGCCATGAATATATCTTTTTAAACTAATTTGGTTAAATAAAAAAATAAATTAAATTAACAGTAAATGTTGGAAATATAAAGCAAAGTAATGAGCCCGAACATGGAGTGCTTTGTGCTATCTGGAAGAACACTTTTGCACTAAAGAAGATAAAAAACAGTAAAGCCAAAGTTCCATGCACTCAACTCCAAACTACCGACCGCAATTCAGGATATGGCATACGTTGTAGGTTGCTGTAGTGCGCCAGCTAAGTTTCAACATCATTATTTCTCTTTTTCAATACCATTTGTATTTTGAGCAGAGAAAACACAACACTTCATCTAGGAGTGTTGGGCGGTATCAGACGCATGGAAACATCTCCAACATAGTTAAAAGTGTTCTGAAATTTAAATAGGGTAATTGTAATTATAAGAGAAGGAAAATTGGAAATGGTGGTATGGCGCGGTCCACATAATATTAATTATGAGTAATGGTTTGATTTTTATTGTATAATTTTATATATATTGTCAGATTGAGATAGAAGCATAAAGGAAGCATGATGGAAAGTTGGCGCAGGTCCCACAAGATTATAATTGAGATTTGGTTTTGCTGTGTATATATATATATATATGTATGTATGTATGTATTTATGTTTTGTTACTGAAGAGAGAAACAAATGGGTGGCTGTTGAAATAGTGAGAAATGAGAAAGGTGATTGTAATGATTTTGGGCAGAACCCACTAATGGAAAATTTGGGCAAAGTTATCTATTCACGTGGCTTTCTTTTTGTTTTTGGGGCTGATGCAGTTTGTAAGGTAATTTGCATTAAATGAAAAGAGAAAGGTCAGATTGAAAAGGAAGAGTAGGTGGCGGGTCCACTTCTAATGATTTTATTGATATTTTGATTGTGTGGTGAGCAAGCTGATGTGTTGATGCGAATTTCCTTAGTTTATTTGTATCAGTATGTAGATGTCCCGATAGTCCAGTGATTAAAGTCTCTGAAGAATTTTGAAAGTGCCTTGTTTAGTTTCTTTGTATTTATTAATCTAACTTTTAATTATTATTACATTATATATATATATATATATATATATATATTTGTATCAGCTTTGTGACCTTAGAAAGATGTAGAGATAGAAAAATTAGAGGGACAGAGTGAGTAGAGAGAAGATAGAGAGAGTTTCAGACAAGGGCAAATTCAAGGGTGGTCCCACCCCAAATTTATTTATTTATTTTTTTTACCATACTACTTTAAGCCTAGTCCCAAAAAAAATAAATAAATAAAAATAAAAAAAAAATAGTAATGATAGCCCAGTTCAAAGTTAGCTAATCCAAAAATTAGCCCACCCCATTCAGAAAGGCTGAATCCGCCCTTGGTTGCAAAGGGAGGTCCGAGAGTTGCAGAGGAGGCCGGAGCTTGAGGCTTTGATGATCCAGTAAGGAAAAATCTTTTTCAGTGTAGGGTTCTCTATACCTTGATAGCGTGGAGAGATTTTACTTCAATAGTTTTTATTAAATGTTTTAATTAAATGCATATATATTTTGTTTATATACTCACATGAATATGTATGTATATTTTGTGAAACTGTTTTGTTAAACCTCCATGAAATTCTTATTATGATTTTTCCTACTAGGACTTTCAGTTTCACCACCCTCCAGTTTTAGGTACTGGAGATGAACGGGGATTGCTAGTTACGAGCTTAGGGTGAAGAGTCGGCGTTGCAGGATTTATTTTATTTATTTAGAGAATTTTTGTGTATATTGAGGAAATTGATTTTGTATAAAAGATGGTATTTTTATTTTTATTTATTATTATTATTATTATTATTTATGATACTAGTGTATTTTGATATATTTGGATTTGTATAAATTGAAAATTTTATTAGAAAATTTGGAGTCGTGACAAAATCGTATCAAAGTATTTTATTAGAAAATTCGGGGCATGACACTCACCCTCTTCTAGCACTGGGGTAGTCTCAGTTTGGAATTTGCTTAGATTCAAAGTTGTAAGGTAGAACGTCATTTTCTATTGCCACCTTTTAAACTCTGCCCTGAAATATATGACCACAAATCAATATACAATAATTATAACAATAATAATAATATTTAAATAATTAATACTATGTTAAAAGCGGAATCTGTCTTAAAATTGTTGTTCAAAATATGGTCTAATATGGTCTAAGTATACCATATACTATAGTATTACTATTTAAATATTATATAAAGATATAATGTGTGTGTGTGTGTGTATATATATATATATAATTTCTTATAATATATAATTTTATATAATAAAATAAAAGTATACAAAATAAAGGAACCTGATTATAAGTCGAGACTAGAATTTAATTCTATGCCCTTAAGACAGATTTACCCTATGGTGCTAACGGACTCAATGGCATCTATCTCATAAGATATAACGACTTTACTTCCTTCGAGAGTAGTATTGCAAACTAAAGAAATAGGCGAATCGGCTTGGTGTAATACTCGGACTCGAACTCACAGACTATGGCTCGAACCCATAGATTAAGGCTCGATATGCAAGAAGTGAGAAGAGGAGAAAATTTAGAATTAGATAGAAAGATTCTGTATTTTGGTGTGATTTGGAAATGAACCTAAAGGGAGTTTAATAGGCACCAAGGTGCCTTCTCGGGTGGCCTGAACCACCACCTGCATGGGATGTGATGGTTTAGTTCAAATGGTTCAAACTGAATGCACCGGTTCAGTTTAAAACAGAATGGGTGCAACCATTTTGGAAAAAACTAAAAACTAATTTTTAATTTAAATACTAGCCCATCTGAATAAGCCCAGCAAAGATTAAAATAAAATCCATCAAGGCTCAATTTCGTTTAATAAAAAATTAAACGGATTTTATAACCAAGCCCAAGACCAGACTAGGTCGAGCGGGCAGTTGATGGTTTGGACCCAAACTTGCCTAGGTCCTTGCCTTCTTAAAAACTTAGGTGCCCTTGGGCCCAAACCTAAATCCCATGGCTTATTTAAACTTCAAATGGTTTTAATATTTTTTCCATGTGGGACAAGCACTTCCCACATTTTGCAAACCCATTTAAGCTTATCAAACACCTCACTTTGGAGCTAATTTCTCATTCAACAAAAAACGGATTTGAGAAGATAAATATACCATGTTCATTTCTTTGCGGAGAGGAGCATGTTCGTGTGTAGATCCGCAAAAAACTCTTAGCGGAATCTATTCCAAATTTCATTCAAAGTTTCGGTTTTGTATGCCTCGTTTCCAACAACATTTAACTATTCAATGGGAAAAAACATTTATGATAAAATTATCCGTTCAATATGCCAGCTCGAAATTTTTAATTCGAGTGGAGATGCTATAAACTTTCATTTTAAAGTTACTCTAATACCACATTCTTATTTTTTAATTTTTAAATTTTCTTTCTAAAGAATTCTACTCCAACTAAAATTGCAATGACAATCAACATTATTTATTAGAAAATAAATGAGATAAGAATCCACACAAGTTTGAACACATTATTACTTCTAACTCTACTCTCACAACTATGAGTTGTCAGTTATAAATAATATCTCTGCTCCTTATATACGTATTCTCTCCTCTAAATCTCCAATGGATTGAAATAAATGTCTAAGATTACTCTCCCGTGTGGAGGGAAAAATCCCCCTCCAATAAGAATCGTTTACGTTATTTAAATTAAGTATGACCTTATTGGTTCTCCAATAGACCATCAAAGCTCAATCTTGATCAAGCTCAAGTAATATCAATATTGATCCAAGGATGTTAATGTTAACCTCTCGGCATGCTAAAAATCCCATCCGGCCCATTTACATTATAATCCAAGTCCTTCAGATTAATCAAATCCTGCCATATAAAGGATTCTTTGTATAAAGAACAACTGCGTGGGATCAGTCCTCCATAGTAAAGAATCCTATATAGAAAGAAGCTCTGCATGAGAAAAGTCTTACCTGGAAAGAATTATAGAAGGAAGAACTTTGTAAGTAAAAAATTGTATATGGAATGAATTTGAGGACAAATAGAGCAATCCTACCATAATTCCACCATCTTTTGTATATAAATAAAGGCTTAGACCTCCAATAAAGATCATCGAGCATTACAAATTTTTCTCTGAATTATCCTTGTTATTAACTCTTCTTTATTTGAATGAGTTTTATTTATTCTTTTAGTTCTTTAGTTAAACGAATTATTTGCACATACATCTTAAATTTCTCTACTATTCTAAAATATTCTATAATTCATAAATTCTTACCGACTTTCTACTGTTCTAAAATCCTCCACCACTCTATACAACACTCCATAATACTCGGGCAACTGCCATATGCCGAACAAACACTATATACCCATATACTCCTCGACTCTCACACATCAGAACGGGCAGAATGGGAAAAAGGATACACACTGACAACTGATAAATAAAAAATCTCAATGTCACAAAAAAATGATCTGTATGCCTTTTTTTAATTTAATTTTTAATTAGGGGTGTAATTTGGACAAGCTAACCTAGCCCAATTCAAAGCCAGTTCAAAAATTTTGAAACTTAGGCTTTTAAATTCACAAATCGGATTTAAATTAGGTTAAATTTTCTCAAAACCCAGACGTGTTTGGGTTGGGCTCAAGCTCGACCCGAACCCAACTCAAAAATCAAAATTAAAAAAAACTTCTAATATTTTTTATTTTTTACCTTCTATATATGTGAAGTGTTGTATCATAATTGGTCTTTAATACATATATATATCTATAACCCGAGCCCAATTCAAAATTTAAAATTTAAGAAAATTTCCAATATTTTTTATTTTTTACCTTCAAAATCTTTAATATATATATGTATTTATTATATATAAATACATATATATATCAAAGATTTGAAAATATGGTAAATCCCATATTCGAAGGGCAGGGCGGTAGCAGTTGTAGACGGTGAGACAGTTTACTTTTTTTGCTTCAAAAAACTTTTCCAGCTACGACCATTTCTTGGAATTCCACTCGATGAATAGAAGATTATCTCGATATATACTAATGTATGTGTGTGTGTGTGTGTGTGTATGGAATAATGATAGACATCATAAAATTTTTCGTTATACCATCATCAAATAAAATAAAAAACCCATTGCCCATGTCAGTATCATGTCATTATGCCAGAATTTGGATAAGTTTGATATATATAAATATGTATTGAGGCCGGCAATGCGAAAATGTTGGAACAACATTCAGTGTTCGACACCTTTCTTCCTCCTCTTTTGGGTTTTAGAGACGGTGGTTGCGAAAAAAAAAAAAAAAAAAAAAAATCGCTGAATGGGTCAACCCATCCAATCCAAAAATATTATGATTCGGGTTATTGACAGAGATATGACATCAGGCCGGCCAACCCAACCCGACTTTGGGTTGAGGTCAGGTTGGGATCGGGCTG